GAATTCCTTCTTAAAGATGCCAATACTGATCCTATTCTTATTGTTGGTCTTGAAGGAATGTGGGGAGGATTAATTTGTTCAGGTATTTGTTTAACTATTGTACAATATATTATTCCATCTAATGCAGGCAATGGAGTTTATGAATCAACTACAGATACATTCTATATGTTAGTTAAATCACCATTTATTCTTTGTATGTGTTTGATTTATTCTATTGTCATTCTTGCATATAATTTGTTTGGTATGTTTGTCACTCTTGTTTCATCTGCTGTTATTAGAACTATTCTTGAAGGTCTTAGAACTGCATGTATTTGGATTGTTCAATTAGTTATTGGTCTCTTTGTTGCTGATGATTCTCCACTTGGAGAAAGTTGGAATGATTGGTCATATCTTCAACTCGCAGGATTCTTCTTCCTTCTTGAAGGACTTTTCATCTACAACGGATATCTTAGAATTGCTGCTCCATTCTTTGATTATTCTCATCTTGATGCTGCCAAACAACCAGAAGAAACTAAAGCACTTTTAGATGGAGATGAGGAAACAAATTAACTTTATTAATTTATCAAAAAAGTTTCTTTTATTTTTTTTGTTTGTAGAAAGATAGTAAAAATATAACTTATTTTATCATAAAGAAATAATATGAACTAATAAAAAAATAAGAGGAAGATCGAAGTGGTTTTCGAGAATTAAAGTATGCAGAAAGGAATATATCCAGAGTTAAATGATTCTATTGACCATAACTATAACATTACTATACCTAGTAGAACTGATTTTATTGATAGAAAAGATATGCCAATTTATAGTTCATATGAAGAATTATTTGAAGGTGATTTTCCAAAACGAAAATGGGTTATGGAAGATATTCCTGGGAAAGGACGAGGTGTTATTTGTTGTAGACCTATAAAAGCGGGAGAATTAGTGTTTAAAGAACGGGCATCTATTTTATACATTGGCCCTGAAACTAAAGATGAAAATAAAGACTCAACATTTGAATTAATTAAAAAAGTTTATGAAGGAAATGCTACTGCAACCCCTTCATTTGTTGCACAACTAGCACAAAATCCAAGTAGAGAAAATGAATTTGAAAACCATGTTCAATGGATTTTTAATGAATTTAAAAATAATTCATACCAATTTAAATATAAAGTTGAATTGGATGAGTTAAGAAAAATTGTTAATGGGATTCATACAAACTCTTTTTCATTAGATTTTCAAGAAGGATTTGGTGTCTTTATGGGATGTAGTTTGGTTAATCATTCATGTTCAGAAAATATGGGATGGCATACTGTTGGTGATACCATGTACTATACTGCATTAAAAGACATTGAAGTTGGAACAGAACTAACAATTTCATATTCATTTCCGAATGTTAATTCTAAAAGAATAAGATATTATCATGACTATTATGGATTTGATTGTGATTGTGTATTGTGTACAAAGGGAATAGATAATTGGAGAGTTTTTGATTGTATTTATTGTGGAGGGCTTATTTATCCTGATGAAAATGAATGGATTTGTCATACTTGTAAAAGAAAATCAACACAAGAAGAAATATTTTTTTATGAAGCAGAAGAAAAAGCTATTATGCAATTTAAACATGAAAGTCGTTATCGTTGGTTCTTTAGGCCTTTAAGAAAAATAAGTCCATATCATATGTATTTATTCAAAGCATTAAGAAATTATTTTATGACACAGGCATGTTCTAATCCTATTCAAATTGCTGAAGAAGTGCTTTTACCTATTGCAGAGTTTCATCGTGATATTTCACATGGAAGATTATACGCAGCTGTATTAGAACAATACTCACTAGTACTATTAAAATACTGTCAAACAGTCACTATTTTGGAAGAATGGTGTAAAAAAAGGGCTTTAGAATGTTTGAGAAAAGCTTATGATTATCG